GGTCAGAGACAGCGGGCAACTGGGATCCGGGACGATACTCCATTCTACCTGGTACATGGGCGGGACCCGAGATTCACTCTGGAAGCGGCCATTCCGGTAGGTAGCACCAAGAGGAGAAACCGAGACCCAAGACGATGGCTATACCAGGTCCAGAAATACTATCGGCAAGCCAGATCCCAAGTGAACGAGCGGTTACGAAGTGCGATACAAGATCGAGCGGATCGACACAACGAAGGCGCCCTTCCACATCAAATCCAAGTTGGATCGCAGGTGTGGCTGTACCTAGACCGAGTGAAAGAAGGATACGCCCGTAAACTGGACCATCTCTGGCACGGACCGTTCCGAGTAAGTGAAAAGATAGAGGAACACGCCATGAAGTTGACAACGGCAGGTACCTAATATCGCTTGTTCCCCGTGATACACGTATTCAAGCTAAAGCTGGTCAAGGAAAATCCGGACAGACCTGAGATTCGTCTTTCGGTGGATGAATCCAACCGAGTGGATTTCGACGAAGTCCTCCTACCAGAGGAAAGTTGGAACGTGTATCTCGAAGCAGACGAGTTCGAAGTCGAGAGGATCGCCGACATGAGGCCAGGGAAGCGAACCAGATATGGACGATTTTACCGCGAATTTCAGGTGCATTGGTGTAGATATGACGAACCCAGTTGGGTAGACGAGGCAGATCTGAGCTGTGGGGCATTACGCTATGATTTCTTGCGGGATCGTACGAATCGGAATCGGTTTGGCGTGATGCAGTAGAATGAAGAGGAGTAGGGGGAGGATCCATGGGTGTGAGCTGGTCATATCGATGGTAGAACGAAAAAAGGACCCACAGGAAGGGTGTGAGCCAGGAGGAGGAGGATCACTGATGTGATCTGGTCACATTAAAGAGAAAGAGAAGAAGGATCCACAGGAAGGGTGTGGGTCAGGAGGACAAGGTGAATGTTTTATGCGTAAAGAGTGATGTTTTCACGTGCAAAGCGTCGTGGACCAATCCGAGTTTTTTCGAGTGCTTGGGCTATACTGGTCTAATTATGACTCGACCGTAAGAGGTGAATCCGGCTTAAATTCAAGCGCGGACCCAGTTCGGATCCAGAAGTTGGTACGAATCCAGATACGGCTTTGGCTTAGAGCCAGGGTTAGATCTAGCCCAGATCCAGGTGTACACCAAGGATCTGGCATGGCTCCTCAATCGAACAAGAGAGTGTTAGAGAGGATAACGAAAAGTAGATTAGGAGAGCTTATGCAAACAGACTAAATCGACCCAGTTTTTAGCCGCTAGTTACTACTACGCGGCGGATCCACGAGGACTGGAACTGGGGCGCAGCGTGAAAGAGCGGTGTAGATCAGGTGGTCATGGGCTAAACGTTGAAGAACTTGCCCGCCCGACGCTGGATCCGGTGTCCTGGATGTTGGCTGGGGTCCCCCCGAAGCTGAATGCGCCAAGGATTAGCTTCGTCGATCTCTTGCAGAGCCTCCAGTAGGCTTGTAGGTTCCGGGTGGTGAAGGCTGGGATTTTCCAAACTGGCTTGGCGAGATACGGATCCCGGAAACCACGTTACCTTATCCCCACGTCGGGGAAGGTGTAAGAAGAACGGATCCAGCAAGATATTGACGTCACCCAACCGTCTTGAATAGCCAACACCAGGATCACCAGAACTTTTTTCCAAGCTTGACCAGCGTGACTGCGTCGGTTGCCGCGCTCTTGTTGACGTTCAACAGCCATGTCGAATCCCGCAGTTGGCACGAGAAACTGGGAACCGATGGGAGCCTTCCCATTTGACAATCCGGGGTTTGGAAACAAAATCTCGGAAGGCACCAACGAACAACCTGAGGCGTCCGCCGACGTCACCTCGAAAGCTAACGGGATTCACCAGAGTGGCCGTAAAAATAATCCATGGCGCGGCATTGTGTAGCTCTGCTACGTGCGATCTGGTGACGAGCGAGTCCACATACCCGGATGCCGTCATGTCATCCGCTTCGCGAGGGAATATTCACTCCGTACGGAGCGGCAGCTCAGGGAACAGGACGGTAATCTTCATGGTAGCGATGGTAACCCTGTTCAATTTCTTTACAGACCAGGGCTCGATGTCATTTGTGGCGAAGGCCACAGGCGCAAGCCGACCAGGGATGAAGGAAGCATCCGGCCCAAACGGGACCACGGGAAGCATGCCTGGTAAGGAAGAGCTAGCAGGGACCAAGGCAGATCCAGTGGATCCGCCGTCGCGAGGCGACCCCCCTCCACCATCGCTGCCCGACCCATCATCACTGTCGACCGGTACCGCAGATCCCGCGGTGCCGGCCCCAGATCCCCTCGCGCCAGTGACTTGCTTGGTCGGCGTCGAGAGGGATCTCCTCCGAGCTTCGGATTTGGATTCGGACAAAGCCCGCCGCGTGCAAGACGTCGTCGGCGATTCGGGCCTCCTCGGAATCCTCAGGATCCTCATCGTCATCATCATAATCATCATCGTCGGGGCTGAACGAATAGTGGCCCGCGGAGAGGTATGGTCAGTTTTTGCCGGTCATTTACCCTTACGTAAGGTATCCACACCATATTGATTGTAAACCAAATATGGGCAGCTCATCAGACATAGGCTGGCGAGGCATTGTCTTGCAGTATGTCTACAATATTGAGATCAGCGTAGTTGCCGGTGTACTGGGCGACTCAGCCAGAAGCCTTCGGAGATGGTACCGTCTCCTCAAGACAACAGAAAATGTTGACGACACCCCAAAGAATGAGCGGTCATCTAAATGGCCGATTGAGTGCAACAATTTGCTCGCGAGTATGTAAAGCAACACCCCTGCTTCTACTTCCAAGAGCTGCGTGAGGTATTAAAAGAGAAGTTTTCAGCCCAATATTGCTGTTCCAATTCGACAATTTGTCGTGCTTTACGGTTCGATTTGGGGCTAACGCGAAAAGTGCTGACTAAAAGAGCTCGTGAAAGTATCCCAAAAAAACGCCAAGAGTATGTGAACAGGCTATTTCCTTTCTACAGCGGGCCAGATCAAATCGTGTATGTCGATGAAGCTTCAAAGGATGGAAGGTATTGAACAATATCAATTCTGTGACTGCTACATCTTACCTTGCTAATTTGTTGTATGGTATACTATGGTTTAGATCCTCCCTCAGAAAACACGCGTGGTCCGCGCGCGGGGACCCAGCAGTTGTGGCCATTCCATTTTCCCGCAGAAAGCGAATCTCAGTTTTTGCTGCGTTCGACGCCGAAAGGTTTCTTGCGTGGGGTACAACCGAGAATACTTTCATCCGGCAGACATTCCACGAGACCTTCAAGCTGAAAATTCCACCGTTCCTCAATCCGTGGCCTTTACCAAGATAAATTGTCATTTTGGACAACACCAAAATTCAAATGTACGAAGAATTTCAAGAACTTATTCACGGTACTGGTGCACTGTTATATTTCTGCCGCCGCATTCACCTGACTTGAATCCTATATTAGTCGGATTTTCTCTTCTAAAACGATGGATCCAGCGCCACGCAAATATGGCGCTCCGTGAAAGTCCTTATGCGGTCCTCAATGTCGCGCTGTATTTTTGCACTAGACAGTCTGAGGAAGTTGTACGGCCACTGTGGGTACGATGGGAACAAACCCAGGATAAAAATCAGTGAGTTTTAATGGAGTTCATGTATTCGTACTGAAAACATCGTACTCTATTTCTACTACGCTCCTTAGAGCTGATCGTTAAGGTGATCAACATCATCCATGTCTTCTGCAGAAGCGACATGGATTAGTCGGGATAGGAGTTCCCGGAATATTTGATTTTGTTTTAATGATTTTTGTTCATGTTTCAAGAGCACAGAGCCAAGTGCCAACACTATTCATAGAGCAACCGAGAGTCGAATCCAAGAGCAAGTTCCTCGTGTAGCAGCTTGCTAGCTGAGCGCAATATTTCGAGTGGGCCAGCCTCACAGCTATACATGGCAGCAATGCAAGCTCGACTTCCAGCTGACGCTCCACTACTAGTTCCTAATAACACAACATTTTGACAACTTCGGAACATTGATCAGCTTTCCCAGGAAATTGAGACGAATCGAGATACAACACAAGCAACCGCTGACATGAATTTTAGAATGCTCAGGATCAGGTGCAGTTATCCAAGTGCAAGTTCATGCTGGGGATCTCCAAGAAATATTCGGTTTACGCCTACAGCCTTCGCTCTCCGTTCCGTGACCCGGTAGATTTTGAAACTCCCTGAGACTCATTCCCGAAGGGATGTGGCGTGTCGACCCAGACACTTAGTTATGTTTCAGATCCGACGAAGGACTTGCACACGACACTTACCTCAAGCATCGATCTCCGTACAGACATGGGAATTGAACCCACGCCACCTGTTAGCTGACGGGCAAATCAGGCGCATGCAAACCAGTTGCCCAGAATGCATGCTAATATTTTAATGAAATTTTGTCAAGCCTGGTCAAGTATGTCTTTGATTGGCATCGTCGTTTTTTTCCGTCAAAGGGTTAGGCTAAATTTTAGTCGGAAGCACCCGATCAGATAGGAGGTCTTCCGTAAGGGCCATCCTCCTACGTAGGACCATAAAACGGAGAGCGTTTGGGCAGAAAGGCACAATGCGACAAGACCACCGTAAACCACGTTAGGATTACCCACAAATTGTGGCACATCGTACTTTTTCTTGAATCTCGTAAAAGGGATGAGGGATCCTATGGATAAATGTGATTTGCATAATATGCATATCATGCAATTTACTGCATCATTGGCTCTGTCAGCATCGCAGACCAGAGACTAAAGAAATGACGTGCTTTAGTATGCTGTATTACGATAACGCATATACGAGCGAGCAGTAACGACTGAGCAATGACGTATCTTCTTCACAAGTGGAAATTAAAAATGAAACCTTTTAATAACACTGGTAAGAACAGACCTCAATTAGTTTTCTTCCTACGATTTTGCTGTCGCCTATGGTGCTCGAGACAGCGGAAACGAGCCCTTTTATGATAAGCCTACGAAAGCCAACCAGCAATGAAGGCACAAATTCGTAGTGCGCTCGTTATGTGCGTTGCCATATGTGAAGCACCGTCATTTCTATATGGTTCTGGTGACAGAGCCAGTGACTCAGTAAATTTTATACGAATCCCAAACATGCCTTTCTCAAAAAAGGGCATTGGGAGTAAACCATAAGCGATTTACAGTGGCGTTGTGGTACATCTTGTACCGTAAACCATGGCCTCAATGCGACAGATGTAAAACGCTCCATTGCTACCTAAATGTTTTAATACTTACTAATAGTACCAAACTGAGGTTTTCCCTTAATATCTCCTTAAATCGCTCTTTTTGTTTGTCACGATCTAAAAATTATATGGTAGCACTGAGGCCATTGAAACCATGGTGTACGATACAATTTTTTTGTTCGTGTAGATTACTTCTCACAACGCATGCTCTCATAACAGCTTATTCTTCAATTACCTTCTTGCCCCACAGTATCAAATCAAGACAACCCACCTACTGCAAATGCGTGTGTCCTGCGTCCTAGTCGCTGCAGCTGCGATCGCTGTTCTCACAAACAGTTGCGGCGCAGCCCCAACATCCATCCGCGCGCCCGAAGTTTCGACGGACACAGTGTCCGATGTGCGTGTTTTTCCCGGTACGAAGCAACACGATAGAAAGACGCTACTGCGCAGCGAGCTCGAGGATGAAAACGAGGACAGCGAAGACGACGAAGACAACGAAGACAACGAAGAAAGGAAGTTCGGTGCCAATCTCTTCAACGCCCCAAACCTTGACAAATTCGTGGGGTTGGCCATGGGTTTAAAATCCAGAGACGTGGATGGAAACGT